GATAGATAGATAGATAGATAGATAGATAGATAGATAGATAGATAGATAGATAGATAGATAGATAGATAGATAGATAGATAGATAGATAGGATATTGTTGAAGTATATCGCATTGTGTCACGGTGAAGTCAGATGAGCTCTCATGGTGTCTTCACGTTACCTTCGATGATTATTCCGTATACTTTGAAAAAACTCTACGTCGTTTGTGAGCTTGTCAATTTTATTAAAAAAATAAAGTATCAAATTTACTTTAACCCAAAGTCTCACACTCTTACAAGAAAATATGCAACGTTGTTTTTTTTTAACCCAACTTTGGATTCGGAAGCGTTTTGTCCGAGCACACATTGAACGCATCACAATTTCACCGGTATCACTCTTCAGAAAGTCGCCCATCACCTCCGTGAAGGCAAAAAATACAACAAATTAGGTAAAAATAACTATTATAATGCTGTTTTAAGCCTTGTTTCGTTTAGATATATATTTAAAAAAACAATCAGACGACAGAACATCTCCCCTCTCTGCTCAACAAGCAGACCGTGTAGCTGCTGCTCGGAAGAAAAAATATATATATTATCCCTTAAATCACAGCAAAAAGCAGCCGGTTTGTTAGTATTTAGTTACGCGTACGAATGAGGTTATATGTAAAAAAATAAATAAAACGTTATAAATGAACATTTGTAGTTAAAGTTGGCTAGCTTTGCACGCTAATCCGTGCACTTCCGCATTAGTGTCCGCCCTGTTCATGTTGGAGCTTGTAAAGCTGCACTCAGCGTTTCTTAATCTCAACTGTTTCAGACAGAGAGGAAACTATTATACACATATTTACTGGTAAAATAAGTTAATAACAATGTGAAATGCTCCATTAAACATAAATATGATTTACTGTCTGACTTAAAAATGAAACATCTCAGTTTTTGTGCAGTTTTCATGTTTTGTGAATGGTTATAGTTTGTAATGTTGTTGTCTTTTGTGTGTGTGATAACAGAATATCATGAGATTACTGACTGTATTTTAATGAAACTCTGACAGTAACCAACATGTGCACTTAAACATTTCACTGTTTGGAGTAACCTCCTTTCAAGATGGCCGCCACAGCCAAGCCATCACACAGACATGTGTCTAACTCAGTCATTTTCACAGTTCCTGAAGCATTGTTTGCATTAACCTGTTTGTTTGTTTGTTTGTSCCTACAGCTACAATGAATGTGTCACATGAAATCAGTTTACTGGTGGAGGAGATCCAGAGACTTGGCAGTAAAAGTGAGTCCAGACAGGATGTTAGGACGTGATTCGTCTCGAGTCACTTCAGTAAAATAAACCTAATAAAACTAATCCACTGGCTCAGGGTTTACGCCACATTTGAATCAACTTTTAAAGGAAACCGTTTATTTTATTTGCTTCAAGATAATTTTATCATGAATAAATGTTCTTTATTTCCCTCCAGACGGCGATGGCCAGACTAGCGTAAAATTCGGGGTTTTGTTCAACGACGACCGCTGCGCCAACATTTTCGAGGCGCTGGTGGGCACCCTGAAGGCCGCCAAGAAGAGGAAGGTGATCGACTTCCAGAGTGAGCTGCTGCTGCAGGGCGTCCATGACAACGTGGAGATCGTTCTGCTGCAGGACTGAAGCCAGACGCTGGATCAGACCTCCAGAGACAAAGCCTCTGTGTGCACACACTTCAGTTTGTTTTTGTAAGGTAACTGCTGTTTGTGTTTGCGATCATACCTTTAAGCAGAACTACAATAACTATGTAAATTTAATGTGGGTTTGAGAGGACATTAGACGTCCTTTTCCCTACGAGCACAAGAATGTCCATTTGTTGTTTTCACCGTTACACATCTCTAGTTTTGTGTTCAAAACGGTTCAGATTTGTATCAGCAAGCTCGMCCATTGTCTATTTTTTTGCCATCATACATGTTGCTTTTTCCACAAAGGTGCCACTCTGAACAACTTCTGCTGTTTTACATCCTGAACGCACAAAATCCTGTTTTAAGATGAGTCGAAACAGAGTGGTGCCATTTTTATGGTTTTTTTTTTCTACAAAGCAAGAAGAGCAGATTCTGTCAGATTAACTTTGTACAAATCATGTTTTACCTTCTTGTTTTGGACCAGATCAGTCAAACACAACCAGATGCCTTTTATGGGGGTTTCAATGTTAGGAAAAGTGTTGCACAGAACCTTTGGCAAACTGTTTTTATGTTTTTACTCTTGAGAGTAAATGTTTGAACGTGGTTCTCCACATGAAATATTCTAAATATGAAAATAAGATGAGTTAAAAAAAATTAATCTGATTAGGATTAGTGTGTTGTCACCAAAAAGACTGTTCAGATCAATGTTTACCACTCTGACTACCTCCTGTGGACTTTTATTAAGACGTTATTTGAACTTTTGGAAATCCTTTTTACTAGAATTAGAGACACAAAGACGACTAAAGTGCAATATTTAAAAAACAGTTCTTTACTATGAGCTTATTTCAGCTTCTGTCGTCATGAATGAATGAATTTTCTCCTTSAAACAGAAAACTGCCTTCCTGATGACCAAACACTGAATGTACCCCYCCCTTTGTGCAGCTTTGATTGGTCTGTATTTACAGTTTGATCATTGTAACGACCCTCAGGACCAACATGTATCAAATAATCGTCCTGTGGCTTTATTCCAAGTTGTGCAATTTGTGTTTTCAGGTCTGAAACTTGCTGATCAGGTGTGACTTTAAATCACAGAAACCTGAAACTTTTTGTTGTTTTGTCTGAAACTGGAGAGTCTGAGAATTGTGGACAAAGAAAAGTGAGAATGTTTGCTGCTTTGTGTCGTCAGCACCGTCCTGTTGTTGCTCTGAGCTGAGGCTTCAGGTGAATCTGGATGAAAATTTAAAAAGTTGGATCAAAGTGATGGAGCTAATCCCTCAGATTATGTCTGCTGGGATGTTTGGATTATATCTTCTGGTGCATCATTACTGTATGTTATGTGGGCAAGAACTCGTTTTTTATAAGAACTGACGGTTCTTCTATACCTGGAGTAATAAACATTTTTACACTTGAAGCCTTGAACCAACTTTGTGC